TCCACGTGTCAGTTTATGGGAAGGGCCCAACATGAATCCAGTTCACGTTCACGCTTTTGACACGTTTGCACGTGTTGACTCCACGCCGCTAACAGTTGTGGAAGTTTTACAGCGGGAATTCAAAATTTTCATAGTCGAACTGGTTATCATAATTATTATCAAAACCATCGCCTATGTTCCGTTCTTTTTGCTATCTTCATGAAGCAAGGGGCCTAAGGTATCGTTTTTTTTGTAGGAATGGAGGCGATGTTTTTCCGTGGAAGATTCCTTTAAGTTAGATTTCATTCAGAGAAAAACGACGTTGCTTATACGACAACCTAATAAATGAAGCTTTTACAATGGATAGTAATAAATGTTGCATAATATCAACTGACTTTCGAACGGCTGCTCTCAGTTGTACGATTCGCCTTTTCGTCCTCAAAAAGATGTCTTCCTGGTATCGTGCCTGCTTTTCGTACGCACGATGAGCATTTCGTTTTATGTAAGGAACCTGTAAGTACTAATATCTTGTGAGAGCTGCTGAATACATTCCATAATTTATGCTGAAAAAAGCGGCAGGATAACTTCTAGCAAACGGAGGGATGTGGCCGCTTGATTATCAGGTGGCTCAGTTGAGAAACTGTGCCAGCCAACGTGCCCCCCCCCCACCTTCCCTCCTCGCTCCTCTCTCACAATCACCTGAGGTACCTACACTTCACTTCATTTAAGTGCTAACTTCTTCAATCTATCGAGGCTATGACTTTCTATGAGAAAGTCTTTCAAAAGAACCATCTCCTTCTTCCGAAACTACTGAAACCCGAACTGGCAACAACTCCTGTTCCCAGCCTTCTGACTCAGTTCCTTCATGGGGGCGCGTCAACATCAGAGGCGGCCTTTCTATCTGAGAGATCCACGACGTTATTTTGTCCACCGAGATCAAGCCTTACGTTCGGGCAAGTTGAACCCAGACCACCTGTTGCTGCAGACGTGACACGTTTGGTGGATTTCCCATACACCCTTACACCGACCTCGAAATTTCCGAGCTGTTATAATGGAGGAATATGAACATCTTTCAGGACGGCTTCTGCAGATTTCGCCCATTCCATGTAAATAATTTTCGCAAGAATTATAAAAAAATTTTGACTTGTTTTGTTTGTTAACTGCTGTTTTAACGCCGCAGTTCGCGTTGCGAATGTTTCACAAGAATGCTGGGTTGTGAACAAAACTTTCGCCCCAGGCGGGACTAGAACCCGCACCTCTCGCTTTCCGGGCAAGTGCGCTACCAGTTACGCTACCGGGGCAATGCCATTGGTGCCCCGGTAGCGTAACTGGTAGCGGTGAAAGTTTTGTTCACAACCCAGCATTCTTGTGAAACATTCGCAACGCGGCGTTAAAACAGCAGTTAACAAACAAAACAAGTCAAAATTCATTGCTAAAGCTTTCAGCCTCGCGGTCATTGCCGATATCGGCTAACCGGCTCAACACGTTAGACGTGTGAGTGCTGAAAGCTATGGTACGTATACCATGAAAAGCTGAGTTGGAATGAAATGGTGCCCCGGTAGCGTAACTGGTAGCGCACTTGCCCGGAAAGCGAGAGGTGCGGGTTCTAGTCCCGCCTGGGGCGAAAGTTTTGTTCACAACCCAGCATTCTTGTGAAACATAAATATCTCTTTATAGCCAAAAGATTTTACGATTAGCCGCTTTAAACACACCACTACTTCCACTACCCACTACTAATGTTGTCCTAAGATAACATACAACCCCATTCAGAGAATCAAGAATTTGAAGATCCCGTAGAATTGCCTTACCTCCTAGCTCGCTACAATCGTTCTTGAGAGCAAGAATCGCTGTACAAGAAAAATTGCCCAGCCAACCGCCAGGAGCCAGGGATAACCGTCGCGTTCGTACTTTTTCAGAAATTCTGCGACCCCCCCCCTTAGGAGGACCATGGTGGGACCCACCCAATCAGTCTTGGGAAGCCATTACGCGCCACGCTCCCCCCCCCCCCCCCTCTCCTCTCCCCACTTGGACGCCACCTTCGGCTCATCTTAGCTGTTTCTACAGTATTCGAGATCTGGCTCCGGACAGTCGATACAGCCCAAGTCACCCACTCTTCCTTCCAGAAACGTAAAAAAGAACCACCATTTGTAATAATAATCTTTGCTCAAGTCCAAATCCGACTCTCACCCCCCCCCCCTCCCAAACCGCAAATGCGTTCCGTCATTCGAATATTGCGAGCGGACGGTTGCCCTTGGATTGCTTGAGATCAATATCTTTATGGCAAAAACAAAACCAACACCACAACTACTGACCAGGAAGATCCTTCAGGGCGTGCCAAGCTTTTTGAAAAACGGCCTTTTGCATGATATAGGGGCACATGCAAGACCACAAAATTATGGTTCATTTTCCTGAACGGCCCCCTCTGAACACCAGAGAAAAGGGGTCCCTAGTGGACAAATTTTTGCATTTCGAGTTGACGTTTCCAAAATTCGCGCAAAATGGAGTTAGCATGAATAATTAGTACCATATTCATGATTAGGACCGTCAGTAACCTTACAATAGACTTTGATTAAAAACTGGTGATAAAGGTGTGACACGACCTCCAAAAAAAAAAAAAAAAAAAAAAAACAGTGGGGCTGCTTGGTGTCACACCTCTTACACCAGTTTTTAAAAGTCTTTTTGTAAGGGTTACTGACGGTCCTAATCATGAATATGGTACTAATTATTCATGCTAACTCCATTTTGCGCGAATTTTGGAACGTCAACTCGAAATGCAAAAATTTGTCACCACGAGGAATCGAACTAGGGACCCCTTTTCTGGTATTCAGAGGGCCGTTCAGGAAAAATTAAACATGGTTCTGTGGTTCCCGCATGTGCCCCTATATCATGCAAAAGACCGTTTTCAAAAAGCTTGGCACGCCCTGAAAGACCTTCCTGGAGAGTGACGCATGAACATACGACGAACCTGTGCAGGATCCAGGTAGTTGTTCTCCTCACATTGGAAGAACGTCTCGTAAGTTCGATTCGTAATTTCCAAATATTTCTAAAGCAGATGCATAAATGAAAGACACAGCTGAGCATTGTCAGTGAGGGGTTGCGAGCGAAGATAAAAGCAGTAGTCATGCAGTTTCTAAATCCTCGCATGCGTTTTGTATCATAAATTTAGTTCAAGTCAATCTATCTTTACTTCCACCCAGTCCTTTTTTATGTTTGACGAAGTTTCAAACTCCTACATATAAAGATAGAAAAGAACAACGAAACAATGGTATCTGAGGAAGGATACTCGGTAAGCCCATGGTTAGTACCCGAAAAGAACCTGTTTCGATAACTGAGCTTTTTTCCTTTCCCAGATATAGGTCTTCTCTTTAGCGAAGGCATTGTCTTGTACATCAAGTTAAAAGAGCGAGCACAAGACGTGGGTCANATTTCCTGGAGGCGCCATGCCTTTCATCTTTATTCCGAATCGTAATGGCATTGGATGTGANTGACCTACACAGCAGTATGCATAGCCCAGTGATCCATGTAGACGTCTCACTTTTTGATGCTTCTCGGGCAAGGTTGTACAATTGATGGCATTGAACGGATGGAGCGGATATGCAGTCCCTTTAAAATGGCAGGGCGTCGGATGCAGACTATACACCGAAGTGACCGAACGGCTTCCCGCAAAATGGTACATGCTTTAGACCGCAATGAATTGATTGGCGCTCTGTTGCCATGTTGTATTCTATCAGGTTGTCACTAATTACAACATATCATGTTACCAAAAACCAGCTACCACTATGAAGCCACTATTACCAAGATTCCTTTGAAGGCCGTCGTCACTTGTGGTGTATGGTCTGCACCCGACGCTCTTCTCGTTTTTTTTGAAAGGGGAGGGGTAGCTGGTTTTGGCGAGATTCGATTCGGCTCTTAGGCCTAGGTCCACGTGTGTGATGAACGAATTCACTTGTTATATCCAATTTCCCATAGAATATGTGCTTGGATAAAACATCCAGGTCAATCATGTCGTCGTGAGTCCCGAGACCCTCGCCTCGTCTGAAAATTCGAAAGCAATGACTTTTTGGTTCGGATTCTAATAATTTTTAGCTTTGCTGCCCAAAATTGGTTGCGAAAAGAACGCCGCGCGCAGTAAAAGGCAGGTCCTTGTTATCAAACACACGTGGACTGATTCACAAATCATGTAATAAAAGCTAAAGGGCTAAGCGCAAGCTCATTCATCTCAACCCTTTTTGAGATACGCCATGAATCATGATGTTTGGTTGCTTGTTGCCAGACTGGTCGTTCAGTATCAATTAATCAAACCTAGTGCAGAACACTTCCTGGTTCAGAGCTTGATTCGATGCGATATTTGACCTCGAGGCCATGCGTCATTTTGTCTAGCCGTTTTGTGCGATGCGCAAACACTTTCTAACTGCTACCGCTTTACCAAGGTTTACACCAACTTCTTCATCCCTTTATTCTTAGTGTTTGTTCCACTTGGTGGGTGGGGAGGTGGTCCGCTTTTTTGGTGTGTTTTCGCCACTGTTCCCGGTTGAGTGCCTGGTCGGGATGAGGCCAGCTAATTGTAAAGTCCTCATGCAACTATCGAGTCATCGTTGCTTCGGACGCCGCTTGACCGATTTAAAGCCACGTTAAAGGCATGCCCCAGGATCAGATTGTTGTTGGCTCTTGTCACACGGAATTGCGGACTGTGTTGAAGTACGATTGAGGCGCGTTAAGAAAAAGGATATAGAAGACGTCGTCAAACGGCTTGGATAAGGCCGCTAACTGCCAAGGGAACTGACAGGCTTCGTAGGGCGCGACGAAGGTGAGTAGAGGTGAGAGAGTGCTACAGATGAGAGGCGCACCAGACAACACCTATGATAAGAAAAAAACTCTGCAGCTTGGGCAGCTTACTTTGCAAGGCCCAAGCGCTCTTATCGGTTGGTTTCCGTGCACGAGAACGCCACATTTGTGATTGTCCTCTAGGGGTCTATACTACAGACCGAAGGGAAGCGTTCACACGACCTCTGCCTGGGTTGTGCCTTTAACTCGAGGAAGATTTAACGGACACTGTCACTGTGGCAGAGATTTCATCATACGTATGATATAAAATGTTTTGAAAGACTCTGAAACATTAATCTAATAAAAGAATTCCAGATAGTAAATTAGGAGGTAAACATGTTAGATGGTGATATCAGTGCGTCTATGCAAGCAAAGCGAATGAACAAAAAGAACATAAAAAGCATTAAGGTTGCGAAGCACAAACATACGAGCGGGATGTCGCTCACATCTTCTTCGATGTCATCCTGCTCCACTTCTTCTTCGTCATCTTCCTCGTGCCCTTCGATGAGAGCAGGCATGAGATGCTGCGGGAGTATATTCATATCCTAAATAATATTAAACGCATGAAAAAAACGAAAAGGAAAGAAAATTTGCGGAGTGGTTTCAAATCTTTGCTCGAAGCAGTCACAGCAATGGCCGGGGGCGGTCAATTTTGATCACGTCATTTACGTCATTAATGGACTTGACTCCTCTCAGTGGCGAGTAGGAGGTTGGGACCTCCTTCTAACGCTAATCCATGACGTACAATGATGCCATCAAAGCTGCATTGCTCTCTAGCCATCGTGCCTGCCCCTGCCTTTAAGTCGCATAATTTTGAATGTGTTTTGTGCTGACGTTTCTGCTTTTACCTCTTTCCTTTAGCGCCCGACCAGAAACTCCCTTTCAATGTAGTAATAAAAGCAAATAAGTTCAGCCTCGGTTAGCCAAAAACTATAAAAATTATAGCCAAAAACTCGCTATCTTCAGATCTTTCTCATGAGGAAAGCGAGGAGTATACCTGCCAAGCAATATAGTCCACACTTTCACAGTTGGGCAAGCACTCGCCATCGGAGCCTTTTTCCATTGACTTCTCGACCACGCCTCGTACACAGCCGAAATAGTCGTCCACATTGCACGACTTGTGGTGCGCTGAAAAGCCAGGGTAGGCCCATACAGATCTCTTGCCACTTCATAGATTGTTTGAGTACTTCACATAGGAGAACGACGACAACTATCCATCTAGTAGCACCAACCAGTACTTGAGAGGTCGCATGGTATTTTTTTGATGGGGGTTTGGGGCAGGAAAGTGGGATAGTGCTCACAGAAGGCAGGAAAACGGGAAATCGGCGCTATCGCAAGTTATGGGGCATCTCTGGGACTAAGCCTGAGAGGACTTAGAAATTTCAGGGGAAAGGAAAATTGCTCAGGCACCATGGAGTCTCTCCTCGCTCTTCCATTTTCAACAAAAATGAGATGTTTTACACTTTAAATTGCATTACCACCTGCCCCGTATACTTCGGTAGCGCCAGGGAATCTCCAAGGAAGATGGAAGAGCTTCAACGATGCGAAGTTTGGAGAAAATCCGAGAAATTCCGACTGTTCTTCGTCGTTTCACAGTTACACATACTTTTAACCTTTGTCCCATTGCCCTTCCCCGCCAATTCTATAACAAAATTTTGTGATTTTTTGGAAGAGGAGATCTACGGTGAATTTGTCGCCGCCATAGGCATTG